CAAGCTGATTTTCTCTTTTCCAAAAGCTTAAATATTCCGTCATAAGTTTGTACAGATACCCCAAGAGAACTGCGTATCATTTTGTGACAAAAGTTTAGCACTCTTTTATTCTAATTACACCTCAGGGAGATAACTTCGATGGGTAAGGGATGCTTAGGGCTGTCGTCTAACATTCGGACAGTTTTAATATATGCATTTATTCTGATTTAATTCGATAGAAATCTGCTAAATTGTTGCTAAATTGCTGCTGCTTTTTATTTGAATCCTAATCATTTATTTCACATGAAACAACATATTATTTATTCATATAGATAAGAAATTAATGTATACCCGTATCACCTCGACATCCGCCGTTCCACAACTGAGCGTTTTTCAAAGCAATTATTGCCGCGCACCACTACTATGTGGAACCAGATGCCCACTGAAGTATTTGCGAACCAATTCGACTTAGGGTCCTTCAAGAAAAGAGCGTATTAATTCTTAATAGACCAGCAACGCACTCACGAGCCCTCTGGCATTGAGAATGTCCATGGGCGGCAGTATCACTAACCATCAGGTGGTCCTCCTGCCCGTTTGCCCACTGTTCTATAAAAAAAAAATACTCATGAACGTCAGTAAAAAAATAATTTAAATTGTGTCTAAATTTAAATTTCCTGCCAGATCTTAAATCAAGGGACGAAAAAAACTCTCCGTCGCTTCTTTGTTTCGCCAAGTTTGTTTATTTTACACAATTATTATTATAGGCTGCACTTATGACATGGTTCTCATCACATCTTAAATCAATTAAATATAATAATGAAAAATACATACATAAGAAAACACACGTTTAAGCTTTATCAGCAATAGGTAAGGCCATGCACTAAAATTACTGAGGGAAAACACGCAACCAACCAACCAATTTGTATTAAGTAGTAGTGGGTGGATTGGGGGGAATAAAATGTTTCGTCAAAAACTTATTTTATCACATCGATAATTAGCTATATTTAGTACATGTCTTATCAATGACCGTGCTTATCGCATACAACGTCAACCGCCCGGAGATTTTCAAATTAAATAAAACAAATGGAAAGACAATGTTTCATGGGCCACGTTCTATACGATGTCGAGAAACGTAAAAATAGTAATGAATTCCCACACAGATACATTACAAAAATTGCAGTACAAAAAATTAAATTTATTACGAGTATTTATTTGCATTCTTTTGATACCTTCAAGTATGTGAAGAGCATATACATATTTTTTGAATACAAATTACGAACCATTTGTATTATATGCAAATGTAGTAGTTTTTTCTCAGTTAGAAGGAATTTCATAGCTCTAACAATAAATACATGGCATTTATAATATCTAATTAAATATAATTTTAATCTATAATCCTTAATTTTTTAACTGACTTCAATTAGTAAAACCTCTTTACCCAAAACGAACTCAAATTTAAATTAACCGATTTATTTAATAAAGTGTCATATGTCTCTTTCGTCGCAGCATTGATACAATTTAACACGAAGAGACGTAAACGAGTTCAATAAAACTGATCTTATTTTTTATGTATAAGGCGATTACTGTCATACTTACGTATACGTAAGCCACATACAATATTTTCAGTCTATTAGACCTACTAGAGATAAACCACTTACCCCAAAATATGATTGAGCGAGGCAACACTTATATTCACAACTAGCTGGCCTGGCGAACATCGTACCGCCTAACAGTCGATTCTTTATTTTTTTTAAATACTTATTCTGCTATTCGGGACACCGGTCTAGCTAGTAAGATAAAAAAACGAAAGTTGATAAGACAACAAATACATTATGTCAAAAAATAAAAATTTACCTTCCCAGAACCCCTCCACTAACGCTTGAACTTTATATTATGGTATGTATGATATGGTATTAAAGTTCAAATTGACTTTTAAGTATTATTACGAATATTTTGTATGGGAAAATAGAAAAGTGTTGTTTTTAGACTTTTTCACTTATTTTTTTTTAATTTTTCTCTCCGTAAGAACCATCCTCGTACTTCAAGGAATATTATAAAAAAGAATTGGCCAAATTGGTCCAGGCGTTGTTGAGTTATGCGCTTACCAACACATTTTGCGATTTTATATATAAGATATATGTCCTTCTAATATTATTCAAGAAATTCCATGTACATGAATTGTGCTAATGTAATTCAATTCAAAATTAACTTCAACGTCACTTTTGAACTCAAAGGGAAATATTCGCTACAACGCTCTTTCATTGCGTCGTTATAATTCTGAAAATGCCAACTGTAGCATATTTTAAAGAATTCCAGCCATTTACAAAAGATGCTGTTACTGTGTTAAACGAGCTAAAAAATGTCTATAGAATGTCTTGACTAACCATCGTTGGAGCGATGAAGTTGATTTAGGAAATATTCTTCACTTAATTTTGTGGAAATACTCAGCTTTCTTATATCGACGCGAGTGAATCGGAACTTTTTATCTAGAATACTAGTTATACAATCCATTTATTACATTTAACTTATAACAACTCTTAGCTACACTCTCAAATACATGCACCCATTCACACACTCACACATTTACACATACGTAATGTCTTATAAGACTTGTATTTGATTAGTGACACTAAACCTACTTTTTCTCATAAAACTGTTTTAAACATGTACCGTGTACAACCGACTACTTGTTATCTAGTTACCCACAACACCGGGCCTCCCTAGTGTGAGGACTAGCGATATATGAATTTTTTCACAACCTATTTGCCACGAATAAGTATAAGTTTTTATTTATTAAAAAATAACTGCTAATGAGTCTGGTTTTCCTATAAACAGAAATACGCGAATATTATAAGTAAAAAGACGACAAATTATGGTGTAGTTTCAAAAGAAGTTTTCTAGTAGGAACTCAGCAGAGTACACGATAGTTGGAAGAGTTTATTAATGTTAAGTTCAACACAAATATTAGCATAATTTTTAAAGTGTAGAAGAAAACTTAAACTTATAATTGGCCAACCAACCATGAACCACGTGTAATAGTAAAGTCACCTATCAACACACTTCTTTCACATATTAAATAAACGCACATAAATGACCACAATCAAAAGGTTGGCGTTGCGAAAATCAATTGAATAAACCCACCCATATCCAATTTCCGATAATACAAGTTTTCTGATGACATACAATACATTCATATTCGCTGTCTCAGCTATTGTCTTCCCCTACACGTATTACGATTTCAATTTATCCCTAAAATATTCCACGTGCACAAAAATGTTGGTACCAGGCTCTAAATCGACGGAATGAGGCGGAAGGACCCTAGGAAATATGGCGTAATATCACAACAGATGTCTACGATGGTTATGTCAACTGGTCATCCATTCACAAAGCTAATAAAAGATTCAGCAGTACCGTTCAACCAAAAAGGGTCTTTCCACAGCATTGGCGTCCTAACTGAGTATTTCGAGATAGTCAATGTCGAACGTGGGGTTATTATACGAATATTATAATTTTATTAACATATTTAAAAATGCAAGCGTTATATTTATAAATATAGTATATCCCTTATAAAAAAAAACACTTAATATGTTGTCTTTACCGCCGTAGTATCACTTCAAGAGATACTCCTAGATAGATACTGAAATGTATCTATAGTTATAAATAAATTGTTAAATAAAATGAACTTCAGTTCGTATCTAATCGCTTTAAACCAATAATATAAAGAGCAATGAAAGCGAGCATGAAAATATATTTCTAAAATTGTATGGCAAAATCAAAGACATAAGATTGAATGTTACTGAATAACATATAAGATCAAAATAGCGATTGGCAATCTCGTATTGGAAAGGTTCCCTATAATGTACGTGAGGCGGTCAAAAACAAACTTGGCCAATAAATAAACCTATCCTTTACGAAGGCTTACACCAGTGAGCTGGGATAATTTAAAATAGCTCATGTAACGGAATATGGAATATTTTATTTACAAATATATTTTCGTAAAAAGTATATTAGAAACGTACATATTATTATATTTATTTTTAGAATAAAAATAAAAAGTATATGTTTTTAATTAATATCGAATTTTCCAGCAAAAAATTCCTAAACAACACTAAATATCATTTTAATTATTGTTCTTATAATAAAACAAAACTATTTTAAATTGATTTATAGAAATGTTAAATTTAGTGGCTTATGTCATATATTCCTAAAGATTAAAGAATATTCAAGCTATGCTTAGCATGTTACCCTTGTAATGTAACGTTTCTAAGTTCAATTTACTGGACAGTAAAGGGTTAATACTCGAACTTTCCTTTCCGTTTGACCGAATGTTGTACAACATAATCGAGAAATAATTTTTTTCGTCGTCTATTTTTATGCCATAACTTTCCGAATAGGGTCCGGATATACTGAGATTAAAGAGGTTATTTACTCATGTATGCAAAACGTTACATACGTCGAACTTTGATGGAGGTAAAGTGAGTTCGACAGTTTAGTTGTCTTTTTAAAGCTTTTATCGGAACAATTGAATGATTCATTAATATATACTATTATAGACAGTAGGCTTATTAACGAAACGGTAGTCTAACAGGTGTATTTCAGGTTTAGTTTCTCCCTGAATAAATTTGTTAACTATAAAGTTAAAAAGATAACGATTTAATATACATAGAAAGTATAGATTTTTCTATTCTATTAAGTGAAGACCAAACTTGTTTAGTCACTTAAACGATTTTTTTTACAATTAATTTATCATACAGAAATATATTAATAAAACACCTAAAGTATTATAGGGTTTGTGTATCTGACTTAAATATAGATATTAATTTATATAGATAGATAAAATTAATTTTAGAACAAGTGTAGCATGTTACCAATCACTTTCTTTATTCCCTAAAATTTTAGTAAAATTTGCATTCGGTGAAATATAAACTTTACAAATATTTAAGTAACTCAGAGTGGAAATGCGGTGTGATACAACGAACATGAAACAATATAATTATGCGAGTGCGTGAGGGAATGTGACAATGTGTACCGTTAAGTGGTTTCGGTTGTTCGTGGTGCTCACTACCTGTTGGGCTCAGGAGGGAGAGTGGAGTGAAGATGCAGAGGATCTTGGTGAGTATTTTAAGATTCTCTACTAGTGACTTGATCATGGTGGAAACGTTTCTAAATTTTTACTGATACTTTAAAGAGACAAGTGAAGAACTTAAGTTTTCGAGGTACAGTATGTGTTTTTTCGACCCATACTTTCATTGGCTTGAACTCTGGCTGAGAATAAATGGTTTTGTTGACTTAGTAACAAACAAACAACAATTTTTATTGGAACGAAGTTCCTTACGGCAGTCTTGGAGGAGATAACGATTTTGCTGCGCGACCGAACTGAAAAAAATGTGATAGTAAAACCGTAAGAAAAAGTTCGTGGAATAAAAGCGTTAAACGAGAAGTGTACAGGCGCGACAGTCTCGTATACACAAGCGAGGAGTGTATAATACCTTTCTCTTTCTCCCTCTTTCTTATCCACAAGCCAATTGTTTCAGCAATAGAATTTAATGACGAGACTGATTCATAAGAATTACTTATAATAATAAACTTTTTTTTGTAATTATTTATATTTCTATGTGATTTTATGTTGTCAAACAAAAATAAAGAGACATATTTTGTTACTTTAGTTGATAATTTAAATAACGATTTTTTTTTATTTTACGTAATTTATTATTTCCTAAAATACTGAATTTCCTAAATACTTTCCTGTACTTAAATAAAAAATCAAGAAAACCTACATAAAATTAAGCACCATTTTTATTTTGCAAATTTGACGGCTCATTGGTCTAGTGGTTAGTACCCCTGACTGCGAATCCATGTGTCCCAGGTTCGATCCCCGGCTGAGACAAACATCGATGTGATGAGCATTTGGTGTTGTGCTTAGGTCTTGGGTGTTTAAATATGTATTTATATATCTATCTATCTATAATATGTATGTATATCCGTTGCCTAGTACCCATAACACAAGCTTCACCAGCTTAGCATGGGACTAGGTCAATTGGTGTGAATTGTCCAATAAAAAAATAATAAAAAATTGTGTCGATTCTACATTAGCCGAAGGAACTTCGTTCCCACCTGGTGTCCCACGACACCACATCTTTTTTTTTTATCTAAACGTCACACGCCTATCCTATAAAATTCTTATAAGGGTATTGAATACATTAAGATTAAATAGGAATGCCACCTAACTTAAAATAATAATAATCGTTTGATCAAAATTTAAATTTAAAAATTTACCCGCCGTGTTATATGTTTTATTAGAGGCACTTCAACATTTTTAGGTCTAGGCCTCAGATTTTTAAATCTGTTTCATGATAATGTCAATCTAATAGGCAAACAGGAGATCAGCCTCCTGTGCCTCATCCCGTCAACCGTTCACCGTTTGAGCGAATGTTAAATACTCACATAGAAAGAAAGTCTATTGGTGCACAGCCAGGAATCGAACCACTAGGCCAACACTGCGCCGCGTCATTTAATGCGCATTTAAAATTTCCAACTATGTCGCAAAGGCTTGCCACTCTTTTCAAAGTACTTATTTTAGAACAAAGAGAGTAAAAATAAATATGTGAAAGACCGCGGTCTCGTGGGAACCAGCGCTTGGAACCCAGAAGTTAAGGGGTTGTCAGGCATTTGTCTTAATTACTCTTAACTAGCGCCTCGTGACTCAGTTATTTCCTCTATTGTTTCTCTTATTTTATTCTCTCATTAAAGTCTCAACGAGTATATTTCTCTTGTAATAAGACAATGGTAATTTTAAGTTGATACTATCTAATATATAAAAATAAGTCGGGTTTTCCTTCCTGACGCTATACGCACTAGAACGCACGAACCGATTTCCACGGTTTTGCATTCGTTGGAAAGGTCTCGGGCTCAGTGAGGTTTATAGCAAAGAAAATCTAATATATAAAATTCTCATGTCATATTCGAAACGGCTTGACCGATTCTTATGAATTTTTTTATGCATATTCAGTAAGTTTGAGATTTGAGAATCAGCTACTACCTATCTTTCATACCCCTAAATGATTACGGACTTTTTTTATTGAACTAAAAAAATGATTCCTAGAAATAATATACATGGGAAAAGAACGTTTGCCGGGTCAGCTAGTAAATTTATAGAATGACTGCAAGGATGTACTCCTAGGTGAGTCTTCAAAAATTAATGCAAGGTATTGCATAACCTGCTGAGCCCGCACCCTTGCTAGAATTAATGTAGGCTTCAATCAAATACTCTAATAGCGCGATTTCGAGTACAGCCAGCGCCATCTAGTCTCAATTTATATAAATTACGCGTCACGTTGTTTGACCACTATGGACTCCTAAACTATAAACCGATTTCCATCAAATTTGCACACCGTGTGCAGTTTGATCTAACTTAAAAGATAGGATAGCTTACATCTTAATTTATACCCGCAGTTTATTGCAAATTATTTGTTTATTATTTAACAGTCACAATTCTAACATATGGCGCTGTGTTGAAAGTACCAACGTTCCACATAAGCTACAATTGAATATCATAACCACCAAAAAGCATGGTGATCCCCATGACTGATGTTCTTCTACCTTTTCTGAATAGTTTACTACTATGTAATATAACAAAAACCTTAGCCCCAGCAACGCTTGGCCGAGTCTGCTAGTCCTTTATAATTAAAAGGTAGAGATCTCTTATATGCGTTGTTAGGTAATATATTGGTATTATGTATTTATATATATTCCGTGATTCTCGATACGGCATGTTTGTTTCATGGTTGGCCTTATGTGTCTTTCACTACAAAACAATAATTGCCACCGGCAATGGAATTCCGAATTTAATTATTTTACACCATTTTTTTATAATACAACAGGGGGCAATAGGAAACCTGATGTTAAGTGATACCGCCGCACATGGACACTCCAATGCCAGAGGGCTCGCGAGTGCGTTGCCGGCCTTTTAAGAATTGGTACGACCCTATGTCGAATTGGTTGTGAAATACTTCAGCGAGCAGCTGGTTCCACATGGTGGTGCGCGGCAAAAACTGCCTTGAAAAACGCTCAGTTGTGGAATGGCGGACGTCGAGGTAATACGGGTGGAATTTCGTATTCTGCCTCGACGTCCGATCATGAAATACAGTAGCAGAAACAGATGATGAAACTCATATGTCTATATAACTCGTTAACTACTAAGCAAAGTTACTAAACGGATGGTGAAAGATTATAGAACATATATATTTAGATATAACTTTACTAGCCGACCCGGTATACGATTTGCCCTGGGGAACAAAGTTGTAAAGCACTATTAGGATTGTTTTAATGTGTTCTCATTTTTGGCTTCCTTTGGTGATGTTCTATACCTGTATTTTTTTATATTTAATTTTTCAGAAATTTTGAAAAACATTTTTTATAAAAAACACGAGGATGTCTTTATTCCACGAAAATTGTTTTGTTCACAATGTTAGTAATACTCGTTTACATTTTTTATTTTCCTGTAATAGATAGCAACCGCCGTAGTGTAGATTGTAATTGTACCAAATAATCATGAGAGTTATTGCGACAGTTTAAACACAAATAAAAAATGATTCCTTGTCATCAAGGTCATAATATTTCAGCGAAAAGAGCAAATAGAAATGATTACGTTCTAGACATTCATCAAAATGTGCCGTCGTAATGTGTGGTTACTGTGTCGTCCGTAATTATGTTTAAACAGTGAAACAATCGTAAGCGCTGTTTGTTTTCAGTCTAATTAGATGAATTACTGTAACATACATATAGTTATTTTTTAACGACTTACACTAAATGCATAACAATAATTTTTAAATCGTCGAATAGGAAAAAATAGCTTTCATTTGATTTATATATTTGTATACTATGTAGTGTTCATAGTATCCTAGTAATAACAGCATTACATTCTTTTATTTTTCTAAAAAAAAAATATTTTGCTGTTACGACCTTGTTCCCGGAGCAAGCGATATAATGGCAAATAATTGAAAATAATAATTTTAAGGAATCAAAAAACACCCAAAAAAAACAAAATTTGCTTGTAAACCCCTTGCCACTTAAGGGGTACGAAAATCTAATAGTTAATCATAAATATTAATAAAAATCAATCAATCCACTTTTAAGGACACGATGTTTATATATTTATTAAAGAAGTAATACCGCAGTATCATAGCACAAGAGTCGAATATAACACTTATTGGATTTATCTTGCATTCGCGATCAAATTAAACAAAACCGAACAAAGTCAAGTGGGAATCACAATAGCTATTAAACGCGATTGCTACGAAAATTAAAATGGGGTGTACGTCGATATGTCCGGTTCCCTTTATCCCATGGTTTCCTGATTTTTATTGTAAACTGGAATTTGCGTTCATACTCGTACGTAACAAATTGCTCACTTTAATTGGCAACCCGGTAAATGATGAATTGTGTATTTTTTGCTACAGTTGAAAGAATCATAAATGTTTCCAAAATATAATATGATCGCTTTTGGAACTCGCCTGTCAATTAAAAGTTACTGCGAATCGTAAATCTCTTCTAAAAAATATGATGTATTATTTAATCAAATAGGTTTAATGTGATGTTTAAAGAAGATTGTTTTTTTTAATTTACCGAAAATACCTACGCAAAAATTAAATAGACATTTCTAATTTTGAGTTAGTGAATGCACGAGTTTCATATATATACCTTGATTCCTCCTAACCTATTTACGGATCTTGACCCAGTTATGCGTAGATGTATCACCTGGAACCTCTCACCTCTTCGAGAAAGACCCTTTCAAATAAATGGACAAGTACAAATTGGTACCATCGCAGCCTTGAAATACATACTACACATTTAAAAATAAATATAAAAAACCGATGAATAATTGTTTTATTATTGCCCAAAATAAGTTATATTGTTAGATTGAAATACAAGTATAATAACTCTATTTAGTTGGTTGCACTTAAAAGTTATAACAGAATACAAATAGTTAGCGAAGTTGTTAAAGAAACATAAAACTTAACCACTTTGTTAGCGTCTTGATTCAAAAGAACAGTGAAGTTTGATTTCGCTGTCGGCAAAAAAGTTGGATCCAATTAAAAAGTGCTCATGCATAG